GGGGGGGCGCAGTGAGGGCACCCCAATCAGGTGTGGGGGGGCCAACAAGGCCTCGAAGTCCACAGGCCTGGAGAGCATGGCAAGAGGGGACTCCCCTGAGCTAATGGTCCCTGTGACCCCCAGAATGCCCAGCCCCGGGTACGAGGCACTCAGGGGAACCCCCAGTCTGTGTGAAGGGGTCAGAAACCAGGCGTCCCTGGAGGTGGAGACAGAGGTGGGGGTCTGGCTCCCCAAGTCCCGCTGCAGCTCCTCCACCTCCCTCTTTAGCTCCCACAGGCTGCTCTCCAGCTCTGCCAGGCTGGGGCTCCCCCTGCTGGCCGGAGGCTGCACTGCAACACAGAGAGCAGAGCGGGCGAGTCAGCCGTGCAGGGCCGCGGGAGGACGCTCTGCACGCGGACGGACGGGGGGGCGCTCACCCAGAGGGCCGTGCGGGCTGGCCGCGGCGGGCGCCTGCAGCCGCTCGCGCACGCTCAGGTGACGCGTGGTGCTTGTTCTCTCAGAGCTGCTCCTGTGGCCACTGGTTCTTGCGCTGCATCAGGACACAGGCAGGCACAGAGAATGTCACACACTGGACACACTCACACAAACTGGAATGTTACAGAACCCTAAACAGACAATACAAACTAGCCGAATATTTGACCAAGATAAGAAACAGCAAAAAGAAACAGACCCTGACGAAGTACAGGCTCAGTGACCACAGCCTGGACACAGGCAGACCTGGCTGCCCAGAGAGGACAGGAAAGACAGACAGAGACGCACGGGCAGAGAGCTACCACGAGGAACGTTCTTTAGTCGCGAAATAAAAGCGTTTCAGGCTTCGCCAGTAGTTTGAACACAGATACTGTTCCCACCACAAGACCGACAGCGAGAAAGAGTCCTTAGCGACCGGCCGTGTCTCCGCTGCCCCCGGCTCCCTGCCTCGGCCCCGGCTCCTGCCCCCTGCCCCCTGCTCCTGCCCCCAGCCGAGTGCGGGCAGTGGTTTACCCGAAAAGGGCTCTGTGGCCCCACAACACAAGCTCCCCGCCGGACCCGGGCTCCGCCATCTCTCTCCGGCTGTTCGCCTCCTTAGCAACCCCGGCACGCCCCCCTGCGCCCGGACCCACCCAGCGCGGCCCACCCGACACGTGCAGGAAACGGCGCCTGGCAGACGCGTGTCCACCTCCACGCTACAATAACAGGAGTGAGGCACCCATTCCAGGCCGACCCGCGGCTCGCAGGAAAGCTGAGATCCTGTGGTGACAGTGGGAATGTGACCGGCAGCTGAAGTTCCGGAAGTGTTGCGAGAGTGAAGTGTTATTCAAGAAAATAAAATCGCAATCATGTTTGACCTTGTGCGGCCACCGTCCGCCAGACGCAGTCGGAGGTGGGTGTGATTGACGGCGTGACCTTCAGCGGTGCACAACCAATAGGAGACGCGCCAGCGCTGCAAGAGCCAATCGGGAGAGAGAGCTTCTGCGAGGGGCGGTTCCGCTTTCTTCGGGCCGCGCCTGCGCACAGGGCTGCGGGGTCACACGCGTGCTGCCGGCTGCAGTGGATCTTCCTGCCGTCTCTGCGAGCCGAACCGGACTGCGCCTCGACCGATTCGACCAGCATGTCGTGGCTGTTCGGCCTGAACAAAGGGCAGCCCAGCCCGCCCCCGGATCTCCCGGCTCCCCCTCCTCCGCCGGCTGGGGGCTCGGGAGGCAGCGGTGGGGATAAACCCAAGGACAAATGGAGCAACTTCGACCCGACCGGGCTGGAACGGGCGGCCCAGGCGGCCCGGGAGCTCGACAAATCCCGTGAGTGTCCAGAGGCTACCCCCGGCGCCGCTGGGCCCGGCTGCGAACCAGCAGGCCGGTGCTGCATGACAGATGAATGAATGGGAGAGCCGTGAATGGGTACAGTTTCTGGCTGTGGGCTGTCTCTCTTTGTGGTGCCCAGTGTGCGGAACTGGGAGTGTGTGCTGGGCGCAGTCCACTAGTCAGTGGTCAGTGTCACACTGGCAGGTTGAAGGTACAAGGGTCGTCCGGGTCATGTTGTGTTAGTCCTCCTCCGCTCCAGTGGGATCACGTCGCTGTCCAGGGTATCAGCCCTCTCTTATAGGGGCGTCAGTGTGTCACATGGCCAGGTCAGCGTGAGCAATCGCGTGTCTGTGAGACTGAATCAGTTGCCCACCAGCTATCAGGTGCTAGGTCTTGAGCTAGGTCTTAGCAGCTGCAGGGTTCTTATTAAGGTGTTTTGCTGAAAGCAGTGTATTTACTGGCGTGGGTCAGGTGGACTGGACAGGGAGTCTGAGTGAGAGCAGTGTAATTACTGGAGTGGATCAGGTGGACT